GTCTAAAGGTGTGTATGGCTAAGGAATGGAGTTTAATCTCCAAGAGTAAACTCCCAAAGCTTAGTTTACGGACCAGGGACATCTCACCATTAGTTTACGGCCGTAAACTCATGGTGAGGGTATCTAGTGTGTTTCAAAGCTTAATCTTGTTAGTGGGATTTTTCTAAGTACAATTCTAAAAAGGCATGAGTGGGTTTGAGGCTTCTAAGGGCATTTTAGAGGAGTTTACAGCCTAGGGACAACTCCTAAGGGATTTTACGGCCGTAAACCCTCATTCCTTGATTTTTGTGAAGTTTCAAGCCCTGAACTCACTTCTAGTAATTATTCAAGGCTATAGGGGGTGTTTGGGGTTCCAAAAGGGCACTCCTTTAGAGTTTATAATCCAAAAGACCAATCCTTGAGAGTTTACGATCGTAAGCTCTATGGCTTGGCCGTGAACTCTCATACACCCATCATTCTTTGATTTTAAGCCCTTAATACCTTCCTAGAATTTTGTAGAAATAGTCTAAGGCCATTTGGGGGGCAAAAACCACATTTTTGGCACATTTAGGGGTGTTTACGGCCTTGGTATATACCTGGGCTGTAAACTCTCTTTTATCCCGTAAATCCATGAGTTTTAATGTTTAAACACTCCTAGGCTAATACCTCAATTTATTTCCACGCCATTAGGGACAAGTTTGGGTCATTTTGGCCTCATTTTAGGTGTTTACGGCCTAAGGATGAGCTTAGGCCGTAAACTCCTTTTCCATTGCTTCTGAGTCCGATTTTTGGGCTATAAACATAAATCATAATGTTTAGAATAAGCTAGGGTAAGCGGAATTACGATTTGGAAACGTTTGGTTGCGGATTCGGGGCGAAAACGAGTCTAGAGATAGAGTATAGAGAGAGGGTGGAAAAGCTCCAAATGGAGTTTACTTACGGGGCTTTTAGTCGCACCCGATTTAGTGGTCGTAATAATAAAACTTAACATTTCCAATTAAATGGAAATATGTGTTATGTGTTTTTATTTTCTTTTATCACGACTTAACGGCATCTTAAACATAAACAACTGAAATGTTTATTTAGTTGACGACCTCTAATTAACGGAACTTTTATAAACTGGAAATTTCGTTAACAGTAACGGGGAAATGTGACTGGACGACTTGGGTTGTCACACATACTCGATACTCAACCCTACTTGTTCCCTAGTACCCTAAGGATTCTTACTTCGATTGCTCACCGATCTGGTGCTTCCGGTAGTACGGTCCTTATACTACCTTCCACAACGCATCAGTATTCACCCCAACTCCTCCTCCTAGGATCCCAGATCACAAGTACTCTATAACTCACTAAACACAGGCTACCCTCCAGTAGACCACTCATAAGCTCCTCATTGCTACCTACTCACTCTCGAAGTATCTCATAGCAGAAGTAATCTCCTAGGCTATGGCATCACAAATCAGGCCACTCTAATCCTAGATATGAATACCTATCCTACTCTAGCATGCATAATACATCACATAATATCTCATAACACATAATGTAAGGGTATTTTGGGAAATCACTGTTCGGGTGCTGGCTGATTGTACACACTGCTATGTTCTGGTTTTCTCAAACTCTTTTACTCTATTTAGAAAAATTGTTTGTTTTATGAAAATTCTCGCAAATCCTCAGTTTAAGTTCAGATATTCCTGAAGGTGCATCCATATCCCAAAAACCAAGGCACTAATACCAACTTGTAATGATGTAATTTTTCAAAACAACTTTTCATTTTTCAACACAATAAAATTCAAATAATTTTCTCAAATCTCATGTTATCAAATGTAATCACAAATAAACATATCCAAAAATCTCAAAAAGAAAACATAATCTTCTGCCAGTGTGTACAAATCATGTTGGCGCCTTTCTACAATCCTTGCTAGTACCTGAAACACATAACACATAACACGGTAAGCATAAATGCTTAGTGAGTTCCCCAAAATACCACACACATCACATAATCCACTCGAGGCTATAACTCGGTATGACCCTCCGATCAATGTGTCTCAACGGGACCCTCCAGTCCTATATCGTTGGACTCTCCGGTCCGGTCTATATCGTTGGAATCTCCGGTCCGGTCTATATCGTTGGACCTTCCGGTCCGGTCTATGTAACACATAGCATATATATAATGAAATGCATATAAATCTAAAACATAAACATATACATAAGATCCTCCGGTCTGCACATAGATACCACTCTAGATACTGTATAGTGAGAAGACTCACCTCAGGTAATCTCGTAAAGTCTCGAACTCGAAGTACTAGTCTAGCCTCCGCCTAACCAGATAAAATAATTCACCTCTAATTAACAATGATTCTCAATGGCTAGCCTAATCCCTTCCTATAGTCTCTCAGAATGGGAAAATATGATTTTACCCCTCCAATGGTCTGAATATCCAATTGTTGACCAAACCCTAAAACTCAATGAAAGTCAACTCCAGTCGACGGTCCCGCTTTGACCAGAATCGTCGAGTGCACTCGAGTTACTCAGCGAGTCGATGCGTATTCTATGAATCCTTCTAAGGCCTCACTCGAATCGTAGAGTTAACCTTTTACTCGGTGGGTTACCATTGATCACGAATCATGGAGGAACACGATCCGACTCGTCGAGTCCTCTCATGGACTCAGCGAGTTTCCTCCAAGAAAATGCTCAAATGACCTTCTGAGGTCAGATTTGTTTCTCTAACTTATAGATCTGACTTTCTAACACCCAAAAGTCACTTAAAGGTCCCATCTTTACGTTAATGCATCGCACATATGGCTCTATTTGATGAAATAACTCATAAAATGGTAACCTAGACTCAAAACTCTCATGGGAATGCATAAATCTAGATGGTTTAGTCTCTGTGGACCTCTCAAGGTCCATATCTAATGTCCATTCCTCATTGGGACTCTACATGCTCCATTATCCAACTAAAGAAGGGGTAAAGAAACCCTAGCTTCATGAGACCTACTTTATAAGCGAAAATAGGCATGGATTCGTACCTAAAACAGTAGCCTTTGATGATGTGATAGAAGATATGATCTCCTTAAACAGCCTATCTTTGAATCCCCCTCCTTCCTTGAAAGAATGCTCTAAGGTGAAGAAATTAGCTCCCACACTTTCTCTCTATGCTCTCTGGTTCGAATGGTGTCTCTCAAGGGTATGGGTGGCCGCAAATAAGCGCCATAAGGACCCTTAAATAGGGGACCTGCCCAAACATTTAGGGTTTCTGCATACAGCGCGTACTCATCGAGTTGACTCCCCGACTCGTCGAGTCCATTCGTTAATCCGAGTCATCAGCCGTGATCCTACTTAACGATTTTATGCGCCAACTCGTCGAGTCCCTCTTTATATCTCAAATTAAATACATCAATTATGATACCTGGGAAATCCGGATGTTACAAGGTCATTGAAGCGATTTGTATAGGTGTCAATATCAACTTCCCGCATCATCAGATTCCAGAACTCCTGTTCCAGTTTCTGCATTTCCTCGTGTGGATAGTATTCTCTAATCATGAGTTGCTTCAACTGATCCCGAGACATGGATTTAGCTACGTTTATACCTATAGTCTTGGTGCAACTGTTCCACCAACTAAAGGCTGCATTTGCGAAGGTGCAGGCGGCAAATTTCACTTTCTAGTCTTTTGGGAAAAAACTTATCTTGAAGACCAGTTCCATATTCTCTATCCACCTGGTCGGCCCAACGATTCCCCCATTTCCATAGAAGGGTTTTGGCTTACAGTTCATAAAATCCTTATTTGAACAGACTCTAATGGGATCTCGATTATCTCCATGAGAACTCTCGCCTCCATTACTTCCTTATGTTACATTCCTAGGGGTTTCTAGACTTGCTATACGATCAGCTACATGTTGGGGGACAAGTGCCTTAATTGCAGCTGAGCTCATTATCTCGGGATTCCATTCAAACATTTTTCGATTATGTCTAGTGCGATGCATGATTCTAAATTTAAGGTATGAGTTAGTTGGTATTTTATCTTTCTATGTTAGATGGGTTAACTTAATTAAAGTAATCAAAACAAATAATTAACACCCAAACATTAGGGTCATATAAACTTTCATAGATTTTCATAAAATTTGTACATCAGTTTATCGTAACCAAAAGTGTGTATACAAGTGTGGTTTGAATAGGAATATGATCTATTCTACACAAAAGAAGTATCGGATTCCAATACCAGCTACGCTGTTATTCCTTTCCTAAAATCCGAAAATATCGTAGTTCCTAGCTACCCAAGGCTAGAACTCTCTACCACAACCTAAAGTAAACTACCAAGCAAATCAGTATCTGACCTAACTGCTGCTGGAGGCGTTCGATCATTACCTCCAGAATGTCTGCTCCTATTTCTGACACAACAATCTTAACTCCACCTCTCTCACGTGGTGATCAAGATGCTTAATCTCGATTTGCTGATGTTGCATTAGAGAATGAGTCTCCTCTAGGTGATTATAAGCATGAAGGATTCTAATCATATTAAAATCCCTCCTCTCCTCTGAACCTCTGACGACATTGGTCAACATCCTAGCCTCCCTTCGCAATGAGTTGCGGTCATCCTCTAACTGATTTATGTGATCCTTGTGTCATGCCACACACGGAACTAACATTGAAATCATTCGATCTGTGGGATCCTCATGGATATCATTGTGTCTTAGAGCTTGAGACAACTCTCCAATCTCGTAGTGGCCAATGTTGTCCTCCTGGATCCACTTGTCCACTCGGGGCGTCCATTTATAGGTAGGGAAATGTTTCTTGGATGGATTTTGGGATGATGGGGGTGAGGTTACTCTTTTTTAGTATATAATAAGAAATGATTTCATGGGAGTGTAGATCATTGGGGGCCTGAGGCGTACACACTAGAAGTCTGGTCTGAGGCTGGAGACTCTGATGATGGCTCTGACTCAAGAACGTCCTCCTCCTAAGTCTCAGGATGTCCATCACCATGGGGTAAGAAGTCAGGATATGGTGAGTTGTCACCTAGATCTCATCCTGTCTGCTCGTCATCTGGATCCTCCTCTAGTAGCTCCTCGTCCTCATAGGTATCATCGCCTTCATAGAGCTCCTCATCTTCGATAAAATTCGTATCAATGGGGGTAGGGGCCTCGGCATTCATAGATCGTACTCTGCCTCCTCCGTTACTAGGGAGTGCGGTACCACCTAGTCTCCCTCTAAGGGAGGATGAGAAAAACATTCCAACATATCCTCCATGTATGAGCTCCTGATGATCATGCCTGCGCTGACCACGTTGTAGAAGACATCCAAAGGGTTTGATGTATATGAAAGATAAGAGTAAATTCATAATCAGTATAAATATAGAATTAAAAGTATATAGTAGATAGTTATGGATCTACTATGATTTTCTTGTAAGGGTAGTCGGGTAAGCACTGCCTAGATCATCATCCTTCGGCTATGAATGGAACTCTCCAAGTAGGAAGTTGGACTCGATTTTAAGAAATCTACCACGTAAATCCTTAACTTCCCTTGTAGTATCTATACGACCCTAGTCTTTAGGGGAGTCAATTAGTGCTACTAATCCAATCATCATCTAGTTGTAGACTTCGTCCTAATTTCCTAACTAGGCGTACTAACTATCGATCCATAAATCCTTATGCATTTTAAAATGTTGACTACGACATCCAGGTTTGAGCGTGGATCGATTGGACCATAATAAAACATAGTTATGCATTCTATGTGTAGGTCTAGGTTGGACGCAGTACTAACTAAACCTAGGTTTCATTTTTGACATAAAATCTTAAGTTTTGATTTGATTGGATAATCTTTTGGATACAAGGGTGTATATATAAGAGTGTACACAACTCTTTATTTGATTAATGTTTGATTGGGGTATTTTATTTAATACAATCTCTTTGTACTTTCGTGCATACTTTATAGTATAAATCAAAGTATACGTCCATATAATCCCAAAATATTTTAACAAACCTTAATCCAACATCACATGAAAATGTTATGACAAACACTAACACTATAAATATTTATAGTAAGAAGAAATTAAAATATATTGAGAGGTAGCTTTTGGAATCTAAGATAAAGTTGTAGTACATGGAAATACATACGTGTGGATATAAAGAACATCAAAAATGGAGTTCATATGCAAAAGATATGATCTTCCAAAGATATAGCAGTCTAAGAGCATGACACGTGGCAGAAACCCTAATCAATCATGCTCCATGATGTGAACATGAAGGTTCACGATGGGAATGTGATCTAGGACACTTCTCAAGGGTAGAATGCGGATGGAAAGTCTACAGGAGTGATGTGTTAAGAATCCACGACGTGGATATAAAGGCTCATGACGTGAAATCAATATCTTGACACCTTCCGAAGCTAAGACCCAAATGGCAAGTCTACAAGGTGATGCAGCTATGTTTCATGATGTGAACATATAAGCCCACGACGTGAACTTGTTTTGGATAAATGTATTTCCTCTCTCTCTCTCTCTCTCTCTCTCTCTTGTTTTCTGAAGGCATTCTACGTCCCGAGCCCGACGATCACGAATCGCTGACCGTTTCTACTTAGATTCTATAAAATCATGCTACAAGGGTGAGTTTCACGGCCCCACTTTTAATTTTTTCGGGGGAAAATGCATGATAAATTTTACATATAATTTAATATTATGTTTATATGATAGTATATTCATATTAACATAGATAATTATATTAATCGGGGTATAGTTGTTTTGTATCACATATACCTAGAATATATTTGATATATTGAAAACACATAACTATCTTAAACTTGTTAGCATATTGTTATTATAGAATATACTAATGTAGCCTCGAAGTTATACTCAGGAATTGTAGGTATACTAATTGTGTTAGAGCCCCGGAGTTATACTCGGGAAATTATATATACTTGTTAAGTATGTTCCTATTAAGGGTTTTATGTTAAATAAACTTGGTTTTACTTCAAGTTATAGTTGTTATACTACCTAACTATTATATAAATTAAGACTAACATTTAAAGAATATTTTGATAACTTAGGGTTTTAGACACGAATATGCTTTTACTATTAGAACCATAGTAATCCAACAAAGAGTAACACTCCGTTATTTACTATCTTGTAAAGTCAACCCTAGTCAACCAAAGTCAAACTCGGGTCAACTAAGGTCTTCCTTATTGTTTTTGGTTTTTATTAAGGTTAAAATAAGAACAATTGTTTATTAAAAATCCTTAAAAATAATTGTTGTTGAAATAGGAAGGAGAATGCTTAAAAACCGAGAAAATTCACATCTTATTCCTTCGCTTCGGACCGCATACACTTCAGACCGCAAAAGGTTTACGACTGTAAACCCCTCGGACCGTGAACCCTCGCAGCCGCAAACTCATTGGATCTCATCGCCTCAGAAGCCGGATCTTATCGGATTGGGGCAAGTTCTCAGTGGCAAACGCAAACCGCCTTCGGACCGTAAACACTTGTCGGCCTTGGACCACAAACGAGGTTCACGGTCGTGAAACCCTTGGGTCGTGAACCCTCCCACACACACACACACACACATATATATACATACATATATATATATATATATATATATATATATATATATATATATTTCCTTTATTTTTCCTTCATTTCTCACATTTTCCAGCCAAGAACTCTCAAACTCTCTCAAGTATCATCAAGAGAAACTCTCTTTTCTCTTCAAAAACGTAAGTGAACCATCCCGATATACTAGTTAATCTTCTCATTCAAGTGAAACCCTTTGATTTAATCCATAAATTCAACACTTTTCATTTAGATCTTCAAATCACCATCTTTTTCACCAAGAACACACACTTGTTCTTGGGCACTGAACACCACATCTGGGCCGTGAATCCTTCTTTGGTGATAATGATCACCCTTTAGCCTTCTAATTTTGATTTTAACACTTCTTGGTAAGTGTGTCCTACATCGTAAGGCTATTATTTATACACTTTAAGTGATAATCCATTGATTGTATATATATATATATATATATATATATATATATATATATATATATATATATGATATAGATCCAGTAAGAAATTTTTTTTGGTAGGAAGGTAAGAAATTTTTTTTTTGACTTATTTTTTTGGCGAAAAAAAACAAAGGAATCACCAAATGAATAAATAATAACATGATTCACCAAAAAAATCCCAAAAAAACATTTCAATGATTCATTTTTATGATGATTTTGTTGATATTCACTAAAATTGTCATAAAAGTGAATTTTTTTTCTTGATTTACCTAAAAATGAATCATGAATGTGTTTTTTTTTTTCGAAATTTTTTCTTGTGAATCATCTTACTTTTGAATCATCTAAAGATTCATTTCATTTTTTACTAAGAAAATATGTATATAAAAAAAATTCTGACCTTCCTACCAAAAAATTTCTTCTTATTTGATCTTGACTCTATATAGGAAGGAGAATGCACACACTTGTTATATATATATATATATATATATATATATATATATATATATATATATATATATATATATATATATATATATATATATATGATGAGTTATGAACACTCTTTGATCGATTATATCTTTGCAACAGGTAGATAATGAAAGTAAAATAATGAAACAATACTCAAGAATAGATTTGAATGTGTTGAATGATTAGAACGTTCAATCATCAGCAGAGCTCAACAAAGAACTTCCACTGTAGAGGATTCTAGGGTAACAAAGGAGATCTGCTTAATTACACGTAAAAACCAACGATCTATCAGTTATAAAAAAGATGCATGCAAGCATCTATTAATACACAAACCCTAGTAAAATAAGATACGGATGGACAGGCTCATGCCGTATACAAGATGGGCTAGGAAGCGAGCCCATGACGCAACATCAAGTACCCAACAATCTCCCCCTTTACGTCAATTAAGGTGAGACCTCACTCCAGCTTGCTTACCCCTGCAGCACTGGCTTTCTTTACGGTCTTGAACAGGCAGGGGATGATGGCAAGAAGTGTTTGTCGGAAGTGAATGTACCAATTTATCATATCATTGAAGTACTTTTTATCACTATCCGAGTTCTACTTGCACCGATTGATGATTCCCAGAACATGCTCCAGACAGGTAGTGATGTAAAGATGTTTGTCAGCTAAAGCAAATAGGCATTTCTGAGCTTCTGCCCTGGTGAACATGACTGATTTCTATTTCGGATCAATCTTTCCCATCTTCATTCGGTTTATATCGCTTGCAGAACCGACTGGAGTGATGATGGGCTTCTTCCTCAGAACATTAGCAACCTCTTGATCAAGCTTAGCCACCTCCAAAATATAGCAGACTAACATTTTCTTGAAATGGTCTATGATCGGACCATATTCTGCTTCATTGACAAGAAAAATGTTGTGCAAGACAATCCAATCATGAGGGTTTAGGTTGGGAAGATCACCCAGAGAGATGGAATGCTTGGATTTGTCAGATCCCCTCAAGACCTTGAATCTAACATTAACGAAATTGCCTTCACGAACAGGTTTGAGAACCCGAACGTTGGTTATCTTCTGTGCACTCCATGTCTGGTACTGAGGTTGAGCGGTCCTCAGATAATAGTCTATGAGCTCCCTATCCACATTCGGGTGAGGATGGGAAACTTCAGCTATATGAGCGAATGCGTGGAAGATAAAGGATTTTCGGGTCAGGGGCATGTCGAACTGGGAATCGACCGAATTGACACGGTCTAAGGAGATGACCGGTTCTAACCAAAGAGTGCAGGGGGACTCAATGGCTTCTTTGATAAGCACTTCGAGAGTCCAAGGAGGAAATAAAGTTTTCCTGCTTTCAAGGAGATCATGAGCCTCCTTTATCTTTCTCTCCTTGGCCTCAGCTTCCCTGACGATGCGAGCATTTTCATCCAGCTCTCTCTCTCTGGTCTGTTTCCTGACTAAGCTGAAAATCGGTTCTTGATCATCACTTTCATCACTGTCATCAACAATTTGTTTGGCTTTGGTTTGAGCACTCAAACCTGATGCAGGAACAGGTGTTGGTTTGGGTGCTTTCGGAGGGACAAGTGATGAAAATGGAAGTGATTGAGCTTTGGAACTTGGAGGGGGTTTCGTTTGAGCTGTGGACCTCTTTTCTCCCCCTTGTTTCGGATGGTCCTCCTACTCAGGAATGCCTTCAATACGGCTAAGCAGGGCAAGAGCAGGAGCGAGCTTCTCTGCAAGAGAATGCCTCACCGAATAGTTAAGAATCGGATCATGGGCTTCGATAATATTAGACAAAGCTCCGTGGACATCTGAAACACAACTCCTGACCACAGCTTTCTCAGACCGAAGAGAATCGATCTTCTTCTCGGCTTGGGAGAGC